AGAGAGAGAGAGAGAGGAGGAAATATGTCCTCATGCTTACATAGTATGTATCTGTCATGCTGGTATTTAACAGTAAGTGTGTCATGTGTTTTAGTCCACTGACTGTTATCTGACGTGATGATGTTCACATACTTCATCACTATATTGTTGTATGTGCATCTGTTTGTCTCTAGATGTCCATTTGAGTCAAATGGCTTGAAACAGATGAGTTATTTAAGTTTTTAAGCTGAATAACTTATTTTTTACAACAACTGCTTCAGAAATTCAACCCATCTTCAGTCGTGGTATTTTCCTTTCTCATGCTGCTAATGTTTAATGTGCGGTAGAGCTGTCAGTAGCACAATAAGATGCAGTTTTTAGGCAGAATATGCGTGTTGGAAATGTTTTGGGCACATCAGTTAGAGACTGTTATGAGATCATTTACTGGTAAAGTTAATATCTGTTTCACTAGTCTAACCTGTAACCCTGCATGTTTCTCTGCACACAGCTACCTCAGACAATGATCTGTTTGTTTGTGTTTGTGTGTGTGTGTGTGGACATACCGCATACTTTTTGTATAAGCTGTGATAAGCACTTGCTGTCTGTGTGTGGGGTAACCGCTGGCACACAATGACTGTCCTCCTCTCAGGTCATGAATTATAGAAATAAGCTGGTCGGCGTCCAGACACATCCATAATAGATGGGCTGTATTGAACGGTTCCACTTAAGCGGTTCATTCTCCTTTGAGCTGGAAAAATGTTTTTTTTCTCCACCTGTTATAAAGCAATGAAAGGGTTTGTGGCATTTTAGATGTGAGACCGTTATCCTCCCTTAAATGTCCCATTTTCCCTTTTATCATCAGTAATGATCTTTTTGACATACCAGTTATTAGTCGGGCAATAAATAATTTTTGAAAACTGTTCCCACTTAACAGTAAAACGTAAAAGCTTGTGCTGTTACTAATGACTTTATTTAGGGTAAATAAATAATTTACTACTACTTTATCATAATAACTGTTAAAAGTAACTTTTGGGTCGCCAGGTTGAAAGCCTACAATTAAGTAGATAAGTTTGGCTGCAGTGTTTCTAATGCAGACTAAGACACAGTGGAAACAAAGTTTGCAGTTACAAATGTTTGTAAATCATCAATAAATTGATCGTGATTAACTTACAATTTCTCTTTAAAGGGAAAAGCTGGGGATACATTTTTATATTTGTCTTTCTGTCAACAAACACTGAACTGATCCTACTAATAAGTATTGCTTGTGCTAGCCTAAGCCTGATATAGCATAAACATGGAAGCTGAACATCAGCATCATTCTGCTGCTGTAAATACTGACCTGCACAGCAAATGTGTATTGATCCGTCAGCTGAAAGTAGTCCCCAACAAAAGCACTATGTCTTCCTGTTTGAAGCTGATTTAGGGTAAATTGGGTAGCATTTTTTAATGAACTTACAGCCAGTGTTTGTGGCTAATTTTTAAAGAAACATCTTTTGTTGGAATAAATGGACTCAAAGACACAGGCAAGAGTTTGAAAGTATGAAGACACAGACAGAATGCATTGCTTTTGGTATATACATGGACTTTGCTGACAGTAAGAAAACTATGAAATAACTCTACCCTATTCCTTAGTGTGGGCTTACAACCTAGCAACCCAGAGTTATTTTCTTATTGTTAGAACAGTGAATTAGTTACTAAAAACTACAAAGGTCATTACTGACAACTCTTTATTTATTTCTCTTTACTTCAGGATATGGAGGCTTTGAAGAGATCTCTGGCTTTGATTGAGTCAAAGATGGCACAAGCTAAAACCTGGCTCAAAGACCCCCATGGACAACCAGGTAACTTGTGCTTTCTACTGAAACACTTAATCAGCTTTTTATTAGATGTTATTCCACACTGTGATCCTGTGGTGTGTTCTCTTCCCCAGGAGACCCTGGCGAGGTTGCCCTGCGTGTGATACTGGATGAAGCTGGTAAGGTGGGTGAGCTGTGTGCTGGGAAGGAGAGGAAAGATATACTGGCAACCACTAAGGCTCTGGGGCAAATGACTGACCAAATCGCAGATCTACGAGCCAGGTAGTGTTTTTATATGAGAGAAATGGTCTTCTTCCCTGTGTTTTTCTAATGTTTTTTTGTCATCATGTGTCAGCTGCGTGTGTTTTTCTTTCATGGCAGAGGCCAGGGCCCGACCCCAGGGTGTGTGCAGCGTGCAGGCCAGTGCTCACAGGGCTTAGACTTGTTATTTGGCAAAGTGGACAGTGCTGCTCGCAGACTGGAGGCTCTAATCAATGCCAAGCAGGCCATTGCCAGAAGGCTGGATGCTGCACAGGTCAGATAAAGCAACAACAACAACACAGTAATCCATGTTAACCCTCTCCCCAGTGAATGACACCTCCTCCCCTGCATTAAATGTACCCTCTTTCTGTCTCTTTTGTTCGATTAGATTTCCAAAGCAAGCGGTTTGTCATTTTTAGTGAGTAACTAAAAGCTAACGTGGATAAGACAACAGCTAAATGCTTCAAACATACAGTGTTTAGTGACCCATCCTTGAAGCTCTCTTGTGGTGTTTCTGTACATATTTATGTTGCTGATTTCATCATCCATATATGTGCATTCTTTATTAGGCCTGGCTGGCTGATCCTAACGGCGGCCCTGAGGGGGAGGAGAACATCAGAGCACTACTAGCAGAGGCCAAACGTATTGCCGATCTATGTGAAGACCCCAAAGAGAGGGACGACATCCTTCGCTCCATCAGTGAGATCGCAGGCCTCACTGCCAGACTTGTGGAGCTGCGCAAACAGTACGCTTTCCTTCCTCTGACGCATGCATGACCAATGATGTTTTGTGAATACTTTATGTAATTCTTAGACCCTCTTTTTGTAGGCTCAAACTGCAACCTCATGCCACCAATAGCTGGCACATTTTACCTGCCTGGAAACTATGTTGTTGCCTGTCAACCCTGGGCATCAGTCCTACAATAAGGTTTCTAACTGTTTGAATACGGTGTGATGGGGTCATGGGATTTTTAATGCGGAAGAGGATCAAAACTTTGGTAGAGCTTAAAGGAAAATACCACTAAATTCAAGTTTCATGCCGCTAAATTTCACATTGAAAATACATTTCAGAGGCAGCATTGGGTTTAGGACAGTTAATTTACTAAATGGTACTGTAGCGCAGTGAATCATCAGAATATATTTTCTGTACTCCACTTCCACTGCTTGTATTGACCATAAAAGGAAAACAGAGCTAGACATCCACATCCATAAATCTGTGGATCTGGACTTTAATAGGAGAAAAATTTGACTTTACTAGTAGAAAAGAAAATTTTAGGGATCATCATACATTTTTGTGACTTGTATAACATGCGGCCATTTAGATGTATAAACACTGTGTGATCTTATAAGGTCACAAAATAAATGCTACATGTAGAAAGTATTTAATATTTCAAACTAAGTGTGTAAATAATATTTTACTCTTTTGGCTGTAGATGTAAATAATAATAAAACTAATCATATATTTCCTTAAAGAATAATTGTCCTGAACTAGAACTTGTACCTTTATGTCTGTGAAAAA